CCTCTTTTATTCTTCTTCTCTGCTTATGCTATGTGTAAGCAGATCATCATCATCAGCAGAAGTAGATAGGTGTATAGGTGGGAGCTGAGCAAGAGTTGAAGGCAAGATGAGGTATGGTCTTCAACTATTCTGTGCTTGGTCTACTACTCGGGATTTTGGCCAGTGATCCACACCTTTTTGTAAAAATGTTTTGAGAACGTTTTTCATGTGCATACTAGCTTCTGATGTAGTGTGAGATATCCACAGGTGTGGAAAGTTGATGATATGTGTATATTTTGTGTAACTGTGTAAGTTGTGATGATTATAGTATGTATCAGTATAGTATGCAGTTGTGTAACATGAAACTGTGACTATGGCTATGAAAAGCCAATACATATGGCAGTGAGTGTATATGTTTGTCTATGAATGTTTAGATTCAGATGAATTATTTTGCAGGATAAGTTGCAAGAACTGTTAGCCCATTACGCGAGTAATTCATGTCGAAATTTTAATTTGGGTAAATTTTGATAATTAATGTAGCACCCAAGATTAATTCCGCTGCAATTGTATGAACAATATGATTAGGTAATACGTACAGGGTAGGGTGTTACACCAAAGATCTCTCCCAAGTCCCAAGTAACACAAAAACAATCCAAAAGATGAGATTAATGGATCGTTTGGAGAACAAGATTTAGGATATAGATTCGTTCCATCTAAAGATTTAAAGAAAAGTCTTGTTTTTTGTTACAACTAATATGCGAGATTCTAAGTCTAGAGATTTTTTGGGCAATGCCTATTTTTTACCCAAACCTTTTTCAGATTCTTTTATTTTAACCAAACCTATTGAATTCCTAAAAATTATCCAAACGTTAACTCTCCGTCAACTTTTCTGTTTGTAATGTTGACTAAGTATGACCATAATGAGTTTAATTCCTACGTGTCGGTCAGAATACCATCATTTACTATTTTTAATAAAAAGATTATCAAAAAACAAAACAAAATCTCACCTCTCACGTGGACGAAATAAGTAACGGTAACAGAATGAATGCCCAGACTTTGATAAATTATAATACGTTTGGATAATAAATAGAATTTCTATAGGTTTGGTTAAAATAAAAGAATCTGAAAAAGGTTTGGGTAAAAAATAGACATTGCCCTTTAAATATTTAAATAGTAGAGATATCAAATCTATGTTAAAACTAGAGATTTAGAATCTTTCATTTACGGAAAACTTTTTCCGTCAAGACCCTTTCTATTTTTTGTGATTATCACATTCTTTAACTTCACCCGTTATTTTTCGTCTCTGTTGTTAAACAAAACCCAACTGACTCGCACAGACTACACCGCGATTTAAATCCCGACTAGAGCTCAAGTATAAACTCTAGCTGGGTGCAGTATATGGCAAGTATGTTTTAATTGTCAAACCCGGGCCGTTCCATGTACCCCTACTTCAATCGCTTAGGTTGTTATCTAGTAAACGATTTTGGGTTTGAAACTAAGAAAGCTACAAAATAAACAAACACAGAAAGTAAATCAAGGAGAGTTTATTTAGGCTTAGTTGTACACTTTTTACCTCTGGTTTCCTTAGTCGTTTGAGGCATTTATACTTCGGGAGGTTGGTTTTACGCTGGGTTTTGTTTCGTTTTAGTGTATTTAAGTCTATAGCAGGTGGAACCAACCCCGAAGTCCAAAGTTGGACGAAAAGGCACAAAATCGGGACAAAGAATGGAGGCAGCAGATCACGATGTAAGCAGTGAGTTCACGGCCAAGGAGACCGTGATTTGGAACATCAAACCGTGAACCGCCAGGCGTTCAGAGCCATTTTGGGTCTCACTGGACTCAAGTCAGTTAACGGTCGTACGACCGTGAACCCAAGCCAAATACTGTGAACTGAGTTAGTGAAGCGGCGCGTTTTGGCCCTATATCACGATCCCCGGCTTGAGCTCACGGCTGTGAACTGGGACCGTGATTTGAGCCTGACCTGGGTATAAAAGGAGGCTTGAGCTGAAGGAAAAGAGAAGAGGATACCTTGAGTGAGAAAACCTTCTTCTTCAACATTCTAGATAGAGAAAGTGACGAGCAAGAATAGAGAAAAAGCTAAGGTTTCATTCCAAGGCAAGAATTTGGGAAAATCATCCCCAAAGGAAGATCTCTTCTACACAAGGAAGGATTCAAGCATCTCCATGGTGGGTTTTCTTCTTTTTCCTTATGTTTTTCCCTCTCCTAGCAGGAGTAGTTTCCCTTTTCACTTGGGTGTTTGTGAACGCTATGTGATTGATTGTATGGAATGATTGTCTATGTGTGGGTGTGTTTTAATACGAATTTTGAGGTATTTTCATGGAAGATTGTGTTGTGTGTTTTCCTATCAATCTATTTGCCATTCTAATCTAGGTAGAGAGAAAATCCCATTTTGTTAAAGAGGCTTGTAAAGCTTGGTTTTCTTAGACAAATCATGTATCCTATCTAGGTTAATGTAATGCATCCCTCCTTGTTTGTGTTGGCACCTAGGTTGATTGTGTTTTGGACGTCCGAATTCCGATTCGAGAGTGAAGGTTTTGTAGTCCTTAGTCGATTAGGCCAAGAGAGCTACCTTGGTAGCTTATACCGAATTCCTTGGCCTAGAGACCGAGAGAGTGATATTCCATCACTAGCTACACTTCCCTTACGGTTCTCAATCACCTCCACCATACATTTTAAGTCATTCCGACAAGTCATGGTACCGAGTTAGGGGGAGCTACACCCGGGTGAATCATTCTCATTTAAGAGTCGAAACCAATTATTTTTAAAACCGTTTTATTAGTAGATCGTAGTTTTCAATCAAACAACCAATTGATAGATAATATTTCAAACAATCGAAGTAGGGGTATATGAACCGCCCCGGGTTGATATTTAAACATACTTGCCCTATATTGCACCCAATTAAGGTTTATACTTGGGCATGGGCCCTAATTGGGATTTTTATTGTGATATTCGGGGAAAGTCAAGTTTTTGGCGCCGTTGCCAAGGACCCTAACGATCCGTTATTTTGAAAAGATTTTTTGGTGTTAATCTAACTTTTACTTTTCGCTTTTGTGTTTGTGAATCTTGTTGTGTTAGACGAATTGTGGTTGAGTCTTCTCATTGATGTTAGTGGTTCTTATATACATCAGAAAGACAGAAGAAAACAAGATAGCAAGTTGGATACATTTGTTGGTTTGCTTGAAAAGGAAACAAAAAGCTAACTTAACAGAAAAGCAAACGAAGGGTAAAAGTAGCAAGTGAGACGACTGCGTTTTAACGAAACAGTGTGGATTGCTGAAGTTCAAACTCGGCAGTCTTCTTCTTCGTTGGCGGGAGTAGGCTCAACTAGGGTTGGCAAAAAAACTCGAACCCACGGGTATTTAACCCGACCTAACTCGATCAATGCGGGTAAAATCCGTGTTGACGGGTTTTGGTTCAGGTTTGGGTTTAAACCGTTCACTACTCACCGGGTTAGGTTTGAGTTTAGGTATACCCGCCCACACCCACATAATTAATTTTTCCGATATATTTAATATTCTAAGCAACTAATCTTCTTTATGTTTGTGGAGACATGTCTAATTTTTTTCTTTCTAATTGTGTAGATTGAAGTTGATATTATGGAGTGGAGAGTGAAGAAGTTTAATTGACAAGGAGGAATAAGTTTTCAATTAATCCATGTTGTTTATGAATTATTTATGATTTGATTCAATTTTATTGAGTTTTCTAGATTGGTGTTGAACCATTTGTATGGTTAATTTGTGATTTGCTTGAATTATCTATAATGGTGTTTTATATAAGGATAATTTTTATTAAGAGATTGATATTTGTCTTTAATTTTATAGAACCTTGTTATTGTAATTTTTTTACGACAAAAACTCATACCCATGAACCCCCGAATTTTGTGTTTTTCAAACCTAGTGGGTATTACCCCGGGTTTTTCACGGATAAACCCATGGATTTGGATTTGAGTTTAACAAAACCCAACCCATTGCCATCCAGGAAGAAATCCCAAAATACACATGTTTATAAAAAAAATCCCAAGATACACATGTTTTACGAAAAATTCCCAAAATACACATGTTTGTGCATCACTGCGGTCGTCAACCGTAGTGAATGCACCGCGGCAGACTAAAGAGATGAATGTATCATCGCAGTTGACGGCCGCGGTGAATGCCTGATCTAACACTGAAATTTTAAACGAATGTAACTATGTGCTCAGTTAACCGATTGTAGCGAATTATTTTTTGATTCCACGTAGCTTTTCAAGATCTTTCCGTGATTCCATCTACAACAAGACTTCATCCCAAAAAAATGTCGTTTGCTACCCCGAACGAGCAATTTTTTGATTTCGACATACTTTGGAAGACCATAACTTTGTGCTCTGCAATCCGGATGTCATGAAACTTTTTTTTTTATTTCACTTATATTTTGAAGGACTACAACTTTTATCAAGACCATAATTTTGGAATGTATGTGGATTTGTGAAAAGCAAAGACAAAGTTATTCCCAAAATCCCGTATACCCTTCTTTTTTTAAAAACTCTTTCCTCATAAAAGTTGTAGTTCTTAAAAAATTATGCGCAATAAAAAAAAACTTTATGACGTTCGGATTGAGGAGTAAAAAGTTACGGCCTTTCGAAGTTTGAACAATCGAAAAATTACTCGTTCGAGGTAGCAAACGACATTTTTTGGGGATGAAGCTTTGTTGCATATTGAAAGATCTTGAAAAGTTATGCGATCAGATAACCAAGCGCAAAGTGAGGTTTGTTTGAAGTTTCAATGTTACGTCAGGCATTCACCGCGGCCGTCAACCGCGGTGATGCATTCACCGCTTTCGTCTGCCGCGGTGAATGCATTCACTGCGGTTGACAACCGCAGTGATGCACAAACATGTGTATTTTTGAAATTTTTCATGAAACATGTATATTTTGAATTTTTTTTAAAAACATGTGTATTTTGAGATTTTTTCCTTGCCATCCCTAGGCTCAACGATGATATTGAAATCAAAAGGGATTTGAATCCCTTTCCTATTACTTACCTAATCTGAACCCCCTCCCTCTCCGACCTGATGAGATGTATACTGAGTAATGGTGGTCGACGGAGAAGCAGTGAGTCAGTGACCAACTACCTCAAAGTTTAACAGAATAGTAAAGTGTGATTTGCCACAGTTAGTCGGATACGAGAAAGATAGTAGCACTGGCCAATGAGACAGCATTTGTACAAAATGTGTCGATCAAAAACCGCCCAGGACCGAGATCCTTTGCATAAAAGCGCATGATTCTATCATGCTGAATAACTTTGGTTCACTAAGACATCAAACATGAGCCGCTAGTGCAAAGGGATTTAACTTCTTCTTGTGCACATAGATTTAAACTGTCTCTTGCACAAATTCACAACATTGTACGAAACACAAATCGACTTCATCCTGATTGCAACATCCAGGCACATCAGGGGAAACTGGGTTTTGCATGATTCAACGGATGAGTTCTGCCACGGAAAACTCTCCCGCTGAATTCACAAAAACAATCCAAAACTCTGTAACTGGACTGCAGTCGCCCCATATGTTCTGGTATACCTCAGCCATTTACTAATCCCCAATCGGAAAAATTTATATGCAGCTTCTCTCCTACATTCCTCTCATATTTATACACTCTGCATCTTCAGAGGATAGCAATTAGCTCCACTTGCTGAGCAACACAAAATGACCCTTTTCCATGGCAGGTAACCTTCTTTCTTTGTAACTTTGTTCCCTCAAGTGTCATTGATATCCTCGCTTGTCGCTTGGCAGTATTGTGCCAGGCTTTGGATGAAAACTAAACCATTCTTCAATCCAAGTGCCATTATCAGTCTAACGGGGCACCAGAGGTCAGCAAAAGCCTATACTTAATATTAATACGTACACCACCTGCATTAACATCAGAAATAACAAATGTCATCCTTTTAATGGCAATAATATAGAGGAAATCAACTGCTTAAAATCAGTTGGAATAGAGGAAACTCCAAACCAGTATGTAAATCAAGGGATTCACCAACAGTTCAAAAATCTAACACTCATCCAAGATGAAAGGGGATATTTGAACTAAAGATCCAGGCAATTTGAACTCCTTGGAAGTCTGATTCCCGAAATATACAACAGGCTAGTAGAATTGACAAACTTTATTGGATGTTATTGATATGCATTCAAGAATAACATGCTACTGATACCTAATTTACTATTGCCAAGTTACCAGTTTACATCATGGAGTTCTACTTACTCATTAAGAAGTCTAGCACTTGGAGATACGGAACAAGAATTTACCATGGTTATGGAGCAAGTACCGGCACAAGTAACCTCAAGTTGACAGCAGCAAGCCAAATATTAATCAGAAGAAAGTTAGCAGGAAGATAATCTGTCTTTTCTGACCCCACCAGGAGAACTTCGTTGCACACAAGAAAATTATTTGATCGCAGAAGCTGAGACTATTGCAGCTTCCGCAATCAAGGCAACCGGTTGGCGAGCCTGCAGGCAAGCACCTATCTCAAAAGGGTGCAATTCACAGCCATCGAAAATAAGATTGACACCCGGGAGAGCTACTTCTCTACTATCAGCTTCATTTGGATCAACTTTAATAGTATTGACTAAAGATGCTTCTTCAATCACTTTAGCAGAGGCCTCGTACACAGGAGTCAGTGCATATGATCTGCAAGTGTAACACAAATGATTATTAAAAAACTTGTTATGACAACGAAAGCTATAAAACTATCAGTCAGCTGTATAAAGGATGAGTTCAAGATGTCAATCGGTACCATTAAGCTTACCTTAGTGGATGAAGTTTGAGACCACGATTGCAATCATCCAAATTGTTCATTGCAACCATTAATGTGTTCTTTTTCCAATAATTTTCTGGGACAACTTTTTATTTTTATTTTTCCAATTGGGTTTTGCTTGTTTCTTTTGAATATGATGGTAAAGATGGAAAGAACTAAAAATGTTTTTGCTTTTATTTTCACATTGATAGAGATTCCACAGTTGCAAGCTAAACAAGTTTTCAGTTTTGATTTCAGCTTGATTCTGATTCATCTATGTTTCCACAAGTCCCATGTTTTGGAAACTGAATGAAATCAATAGTACACAAGGCCCAAGTTTTTGAGAATTTGGTTGTATAATTTTGCAATTTTGCCAATCAAAGATGTGTTTCACCGCACAGAATGAACATCTGGAAATACCAAGGACCCATTTAATTCATCCAATAGGAAGCCTATTAGAGTTGTCAACAGAAGCATCATAGAATTGAAAGTGAGAGCAAATAATTAACCAAGTAAATGCTAATGAAATGATTAGGTGGGCTCACACATTTTCACATTTTTTAATAGATGGAACTACTAAAATATGTGAATTGTTAGAAGTGACTCACATGATCCCACCCGCTCTTTTGAAGTTTTATAGAAGAAAAGGGGTATAAAGGAAGAAGTAGAGATAAACTAAAGGCGGAAAACGTCAATTTAAAACAAGATTTTAGAGGTGGAAGTGGAAGTTTGAGGTTTGAAGAATGTATTCTTTTTTTTTTATGAGTTGGTTATTTTATCAATTGGAGGCAACACCAAGCACTGGTAAAACAGAGTGCCTATAGACCATACTATCAGTGAGTTCTGCAGTATTGACATACACCTGGAAGCTCTAAACTTGGGATAGAGGAGCAGGGTAATAAACTAACATGACTAGCAAACAATAAACCAAGGAGATCCAAGGTTCGAATCCATTCAGTAGCACCTAATTATGAAAATCAATCTATGACTAGCAAACAATAAAAAGAAAGACACACCTTAAAATGCTGCCATCAAAACTTAGTACTTCAGTTTTGCAACGCTGACGATTAGCAAGTTTAAGCCTCTGGAGATCACTTGAAGCTCCTGATATAGGAGAAGAAGGATCAACAAGGGGATTCCACCTTCCACTAGCATAGTTCATCAAGAGCTGCCTAGATGAATCCTTTGCTTGTTGCTCTTTCTGATAAAGGAGCTTGGCAGCAGGACCGGTTGCATGGTATTCTGCACATACATCTCTCAACCTTTTCCGTAAGCCTTGCATCGTGTCATGATGTTCAGTAAGTGAATCAGACTGCAGTATCTCTGATGCAACGACCCTTTTGCATATGCTGTTGCATAGTTTGGGACTAAAAAGGGGCATCCCAAACTCCACACTTAAAGGAACCCATTCATATTTCTGGTCATCAGGAGCAAACAGGTCTGCTTCCCTTTCATTAAAAAGCTTCAGTAAGCGAATATAACCAATTGTTGGCAATTCCAATTTGTTTGTCACACTAGTCAACAGGGAATTCAATCTTGACCTTTCTAGTTCACACAGACCCGATTCATTCCCCACACAAGCAATTGAACCATCAGCATTTTTTAGGGGCAGAGGCACATCCATTGTAATAACTCTTCCAGATTTCTCGAGATCAGATTTGCTGAGTGGTTGCACAAGAACAGCAGAGTACTTCAGCAGAGAGTTTAAGCAATGCAAGAGGACACTTCCCTTCACCAAATTTCCTTCAAACTTCCCTCCCAACCCACCAATTGTTGAACCATCCCAAGACCATATTAAGGCCTTCTCACACCCAGCCAATGGAGCAGGAAGCAATCTTAAGCATTGTCCTTTCATGAGAACAACTGACAGGGGCCCACAAGCTACAGTGGTATATAGCACCAATTTCATCCATGGTGTCAATGACGAATGAGTGGGAGGACCAAAATGGAGAGGACCTTTTGGTCCAGGAAGAACTGCTGAATGGGGAAGAGGAACTATGGATACAACAATATCATAGTCACGACGGAATAACCTGTCTAGCGTTGCTGGTGCTAAAGCAGCCAAACTTTCACAACGCAGGATATCAACACGATACCTCCTTTTCCTTCTTAAACCTTTTCCAATATCAGAACCTTCAGCTGGTGTAGTAAACTTGTCATCATTTTGCTCAGACTTTGGCCCCTCATCGGATAGAGAAGCAGATGACATCACCTTGCTGCCATCTGGGGGAACTTCTGAATTTGTTGAATAATTCACTTCCGCTCCAGCTTCATCAGCACCAGAGGTTCCTGATTTGCTGTCAGCAGAAGTGATATCAGCGATCAAAGTGGACTCATCACTGTTTGAAGCCCCTTTGCTGAGCTTATTGCAAACTTCATCTGCTTCTGCATCAGTAGCAACTCCACCTGAGAGCAGACATTCTAGAACACATCGCAGGCTAAAGGCATGATTTGCGAATTCCTGTAATTCACCCTCGAATTTCGCCCCCTCTAATGAGCTGAGATCTTTGCAAAGATCTGCAATGCTAGGATGACCCAACTTGCCAGCTTCATACAATGTCACAGCATGAGATTTCAAGCCTGTAAAATGGTAACCACAAAGCCTATCAGATTGTCAATTACAGTAGAGAGTTGAGAGCAAAAAAAAGAGGTACAGCTTAACATCTGATAACGAGAGAAGTGGCAGTAAGCTTTGAACTAGACAATACTGCTCAGCAGAAGGGAAAATGATAAATTACATAATCAGTCTGACTAGACAATTTCAATGCAAGAACAAAAGGCATATGCCTCCTTATGGAAAAAATGACCTTTTATTCCAGCTGAAAATGGAAGGGAAAAAATACCAACATTACGGTTGAACTTGAATTTTTAGATTAGGTGCCATGGTCAATCAAAGTCCTATTGCAGCATAACTCAAATCTGCCAGCCGTTCTGCCTGTTTCTCTCATCCCCAAATTATAATCTCTAAATTAACTGAATTGAATTCAGTTACTTGTTTATTAAAATTAACATATATCCACCCCAAGAAAGAGTAAAGAAAACATGGAGCAGCCAATCCTCCTGTTGAGAATGATGAGCCATATACCTCATAATCTGTATAATAATGATAAAATTTTAATTCCTATTAGGCCAGCCAAACATTGAACCTCCACACAAGTGAATCTGGGATCGGGAGAAAAGAATAAAATGAAGAAACACATAAGATTGATCATCAAGGATTCCCAAGCATACTTTAAGAAGTCATCATATTAACTAAAATCCTGTGGAAGTACCGCTCACATAAGGTCTGATCTTTGTGATGCACCGATCTTATTTCACAATAAAAAACACATTAATCGGGCAAAAGAAAACAAACTAACCAGGAGAAACTGATCCCATCATAAGGTAAGATGTTATATTGGCATCGACAATAAATGCAACCCGAGTGTGGCTCACACGGGGCCCAAGGTGTTCAGATGCCAGAGGTTCTTGCAGACCATCGCCATCAGTTGATCTCGTCGAGCTTATACTGGCACGAGCAGCATCGTCTTCATCAGTGACACTGGCTCTTGGAGAGACAGGCATGTTAGCATCTTGAAGAACGGATCCTGGATCGATCAATTTCTGCGCCCATCCCAATCGACAAGCAAACGATGCAGCAGCTTGTAGCTTAGAAAGATCAGCCTGTAATGTGGCTGCCAGTTCAGAAACAGTAGCATTCTCACTTGACACAACAAAGACTGCATACAGTAACCTGGACATAAAGATTCCCAGAGTTAAGTTCTTCCTTTCAGTGAAATTAGACAGCAATGGCACACAGAAAATGGATCAAAGTTGAGGCATCTACTTACTCTTCAATGGGATCTTCATAAGACTGCTCCCTGTTGGAAACAAAGCCTTCAAGCCTGGAAACTGAGGCATGCAGACGCTAAGTAGTTGGATTCCAACATATAAAACATTTATGATGTTTATGATAAATAAAGCACAACATTTTCTGAGAGCAGTTATGGTTTCATACCTTTCATGTTTACGGAATGCATAGTGCAACAAATTGAAAAGGACAGGAAAAGAAAGAATTACCTTTAAAACGGTCCTCTGGATATACAGGAACATCAAAGTAGATCAATCCCCTCTGGTACATGCCCTTTATGATGTCAGGATCAAATAGGATATATGCATTAGCTTCCTCCTTGCAGATCTTGTCGATGGTTGCGGTCTCTTCTTCAGAGAGTTTCTAATTGAACCGAGACAAGACAAACAAGAAACGAAGATGGTAAATCGTCACATAGTCATGCACCGCTAATCCACAAATCCTCACTCATCATGTAGGGCAAGAAACATAAGACTATCCAAGGCTGGTTAAACCTATGCGGGGAAAACACGCAGAAGGAGAGAGGTGAGTTCACCTTAAACTCTTCCAGTGTAAAGTTGACAAGACACACGCCCCACCATGGTTCTATTGCAAAGTCTGCAGGATGTGCCGGTAAAAGTTCTTTTGCAATTGACTTGTTCAGCTTCCACATGATTTTCTGAGTCATTAAGCAAGTAATGGGAGGTCAGACAACTTTCAGCGAAGATAAACCTATTATACAGTTGCACATTCTGGCTCCAGCAAAGCTTATACATCAAAATCTTTGCCTCTTAAAGGTATTTTAAAATATTCAGTCATTTTTTTTTTTTAACAAGTGAACCTGGTCAGTAAAACGTCACTTGGCAGAAGAAAGAAGTCCATTAACTTACAATAACTACTAGACACATCAACGGATGAACATAAGCTTTGACCCAAATCATGATTGAAATATTTAAGTGTGATTGTCTTCCCTACATAAAGTTCGTGAATGATACCTTAGACCTGCATTTATTCATAATATCAATGAACTCATTTCTCCCAATTCCTGTAAGTCGCAAGGCATCTGCAGCACTGAAGTTTGGGATGCTGTCATATGGTTGTTCTGTGAAAAGCAAGGAATATATGAATCGAGCAGAATTATATATTGATTTAAACCACAAGTTAAAAAGCAATTGCTGCACTCTAGTATTCATACTATTCTGCAAACACCTCACCACCGACCAACATTAATAAGTGACAGAGTTTGAGGAATAGAAAATAGCTAACACAAACAATCCGATCAATCATGAAAAGCAGTAACCACCTATAAGGAAACCACCAACCACTATTCCAAATAGTAACCTGCCCACCTCCCTTCTCTCTTTCTCAGAAGTCAATGTAGCTAAAACTAAATTCGTAAGGAAAATAGAGACTGGGAGCCCTGAAGGCCAACCTCATTTGGATTTTCTCCTTCCACTTTCAATGATCCTTCTCTCTATCTATTACTTGCTAGTTATGATTGTGTCACTGGTTAGACAGCACATTCATTTCAGCGATCATGTGCGATGCAGTAGTATAACTCATATCTCTTTTCAGCAATCTCTACTCATAGCACTTACTTCCCATCATATGTGAAATGACTTCAATCTTGGGTAGTTCTTACCATTTTAAGGACTATGAAATGCATTTATCTGCACAAGAAAGCAGATTTCGGGTGCAAGTAACTAGAATGGTTTCCTTTCTTTTGTAGTCACACTAGTATTCAGCAAAAGTTCACCAATTTCCAGATAATTTTACCCTCCGTTGCAAACCTAAGTTAGCTCCAAATCAACAGTGTCCCCAAATCATTGTATTCTGACTTCTAAGCTCTCATTATCATCCTAGGATGTATATACATGCAATATTGCTTAGCAATAAATTTTTATTTTATAAAATCTGGATCTGAATGATATCTATTTGAGCAATGGTTTGCCAGTGACTATCTTAGGCCTTCCCACCCAACAAATGACAATTCTCATAAAAATGGCAAAAGGATTTTTAGTCATTTATCAGAACTGAATTCATCCATACTTCTGAACAAGTATGGCCGAATAAGAATAAGAATCTATGATAAAAACCAATTTATCATGAAAACAATTATTATATTTTAAATCATGTGCTGTTAATACCACATTTTCTTATTTCATTTCCATTTGCAAACTTGTATGTGAGCAAGCATGCTGTGACAGAAATTTCCTGGATGGTCAATAGTTGGAAAATGATTGAACTGCATTTTCTGTTATGCTGTGTGTGGGAGCCCATCATGCAATAAGACAAAAGAAAAAACTGCAATAACCTAATCATTTGAAAATCTGATAGAGACTACCCTCTTACCATTCTTCATAACCTCGAAGATCATATCACAGTAATATCTGAAGGGTGATATCCTCATGACTCGACAAACATAATCTGCAAGGTGATAAGGAAAGAGCTGCAAGTAACACAGGGACGCACACAATCACTAAACTGCAGAAGATAATAACTTATGCCATGGCAGTTTCACAGTGGTTTCTTTTTCTACATTACTACATGACAAAGCTGTGTTGCTTAATTATGTTCAACCCCAGATGTTTCAACCATATCGCCAGCATTTGTGAAAGCTCTTAGATTCCTTGGTCAAAATACAACGTTTTTTAGTATAGAGAAAATGCAGTATGTGTGTTAAATGACAGTAATAACAGCTGGCAAAACTTGCTCTATGAAACGCACCGCCAGATTCCTTCGCAAGTAACGCATCATCTCTTCATAATATTCACCTTCTTTTAATACTTTCCGAGCAAAAGAGGCTGTCCATTGGAGTCGTTTCTTGATGCAATGCTCTACTATCCTGCCAGCAGGTGTGATCCAAGCAAAAATGGTGAAAAAACCAAATGAAACAACATACAATGAGGTAAGCAAGATTCACACGATGGGAAAGCAGGGTTTAAGGGGTTGCAGTAGTTAAAAACATTTAAGAATATACGGAACTTCTACTCAATAATAACCCCAAAACTGAGACAAGACAGGGTATGAAAGCACTAGTCAACTAGTATATCAATAACTAAGAGCAGTATTTTCCTACAAGAGGAAACCATCCCAACCTTCTATGCCATTCCTCTTTTGATGTAAGAGTAGCCTGGAGCCGTTTCGGAAGATTTTCCCATGGGCTCTCTTCCTTGATTGCTTTCAGAATCAGTTGCTCTTCAATCGTTGCTGGGGCGTGCTGCATTATGATCACCCACAATCACCGGAGTGTATTCCTACAAAAATACCGTAGCTTTAGAACTCGTCCGTCAACACTTCCCCCCTCCACGGTTGTCTCTATCCACGCCACTATAGAATACCAGCTAAAACACGCTTGCTGAGTCAAATCCGCCAGAATTCTCGGCAGAGAACAATAACACATAGATTAAATTCAAGCACTAGAAGCAGGGATTTGAGCTGGAATTTAACCAACAAAATTACTCTAGCAAACCGTGACGCAGTAACAGACTAGAACAGCACGATGGCTAAAGAGAAATCGAGCAGGCTTTCGAGCTACTAGTTCAAGGGACAGCTCAAAATTGAGCGCAACAAGAGCACATTCTCCTGGATCAGAAGAGTCGTCCGCGGACGAGGACGAAATGAGGAGAAGAAGCAAAGAGGGAAGCTACGGTACCTTTCGGCGATGGCGATCAGCGGCGGAAACGAATCAGGGGTTTTGGGATCTAGCAGTGAATATTGTGGATCAGCGAGGTGGAAATCAAGTATAACTCATTAATTATCATTTTTGTCCATAGGCCATAGCTATTACGTCGTAACAGGTATGGGAGGAATAAAGGAGCCCCTTCTATTTTTTCTTTAATTTCCAAAGTACTTTCACCGGGGAAGGTGAAGAAGATCACTGAAGGAAGCTGAACCTAAAAGAAACCATCATATATCGCCATCGCCCTTTTGCCTTCTCCGACTTGAGCACGCTGACTCTGAATTTGTGATCCATGGACGAGTATGAATTTCTATGGTAAAAGTGTTTTACTCAAAGTTAATGCTTCACCAAAAAAGGTCAAATTGTAATCCGTTAATTATACTTTGGCTAAATTAAAGGCAAAATACACTTTATATACCCAACTAATTTTGTGACAAATATAGTCACTAGTCACTCCGTCCATCCATTTAACGGCGTCACTTAACGGTAGGCTAAATTGCAAGTTTGGTCACTTGAATTACTAGTAAATTTTACGTTAGCCACTAGAATTACTTTATTCCATCCATAGTCACTTAAATTAGGTTAACAGTTCAAGTTTGGTCACTGGCCGTTAGTCTCTGTTAACTTTTGCTGATGTGGCGGTCAACTCTTATAGTTGACCGTTAAATGAGTGACGTGGCAATTAAAAAAATAATAAAATAAAAATATAATAATTGTTTATTTTTCAGCTAATTATTACAAATTAAAAAAAATCCTAATTCCTTTAATTATTATTTTCCACCGTCCGCCGCTAACTTCGCCTTCTCCGGCACAGCCGGCTCTTGACTCGGCGAGGATTGATTCGGCAGCCCGTCGTCTTTCGAAGCCTCAAAATATGGTGTCTGTTTCGCGACATAGCATAAGAACCTGCGATTATACGGGTCGTAGTAGAAAGTAGTTTGAACGACGCCGGGTGCCAGCGGAACCTTGAACGGGTGGGTCCCACCATAGCGGCGGCCGGAGAACACCTTCAGCTCGGCGGCGGCGACTCCTCTGAAGGCTATGAAGTCGAGCACCTTGAGGTTCTTCCACCGCGCTCGCGACCTGGGTTTCCTTGGTGACGTCGCAGTAGACGAAGGTGACGTTGTCTGGTGAGGAAGAGAGTGACGAGCTGATTTCTCTGGCGACGAAATATCCCAGATCAGACTGGACGTCGGCGATTACGACTTTGGCGCCGTTTCGGGCGAACAGAGCGGCGATGCTGGCACCGATGCCGCTTGCTCCGCCAGTGATCAACGCGACCTTCCCTGCCAACCTGATTACAACTTGATCGGTTCTGTGAACGATTGCCATAAATTAAATTAGAAGGGATGAACACTAACTTAGCTTACCTCTGCTTGGAAAGTGATTGTTGTGCGGAATCCATCGGAGCTCTGGTTTTTTGATGGGTTGGTATGTATATGTTGACGAAACCGAGTCTATATATAATCTACCGATGGCCGCCATGGCGGCCGGCTTATCCATCCAAAAGGTTGGGAAGGTGATTAATTAATGCAGAGGGATGACTCGTTCAAGTCATGGCGTTCTACTGAGCAACCGTACTACTCTTTAAGTCTCAGTTCAAGTCATGGCGTTCTAGTGAGCAACCGTTCTGCAGAAACCTGATTAGGTGGTTCTTTACGGTTTCCATGTCGCAGTTCTGCAGCGTCAAGTGTTGGAGCAGGTAGGCCCGCCACGGCGACCTCGAGAACAGATCGCCGAGGAGGAGGCGGCGGCTACTGCAGCCAGAGCCAAAGGCAGAGCAAGGGTTCGTGAATGATACTACGTACCCTGTATCCGGCCATCCCTGGGAAATCGTCGGCGTTGAGTTCTACCCACCCGTACTCGAAATTCCCCTGGAGAAAATTGATCCCCAATGATTCGATGAAAATTGATCCCCACCCATCCTCGTTCTCCTCGATTTGGATGACAATCTGTTCCACCCAGCTCCAAAATTTGTCGAGGCATCCGAACCGCGAAACAGGGCAGCCAAATCAATCGTCGCCGAGTCAGCAGCTGGTTGCGCCGGAGAAGGCGAAGTTAGCGGCGGACGGTGGAAAATAATAATTAAAGAAATTATGATTTTTTTTAATTTGTAATAATTAGCTGGAAAAAAATTATTTTTTTTAATTTTTTTAATTGTCACATCACTCACTTAACGGTCAATTATAAGAGTTGACCGCCACATCAGCAAAAGTTAACGGAGACTAACGGCCAGTGACCAAACTTGAACTGTTAACCTAATTTAAGTGACTACGGATGGAATAAAGTAATTCTAGTGGCTAACGTGAAATTTACTAGTAATTCAAGTGACCAAACTTGCAATTTAGCCCTTAACGGTATGACTAGATTGAAGTAAAATGATGAGTTGGCGACGATCCGTCAATAACAATATGAGATGGAATTAACTGGAAAAAAAAATCAATTAAATATTTTTATTTTCTCTCTCCCCTCTCTCTCCATTTCCATTGTACTCTCCCTCTCTCCTCCGACTGACATCTTAGTTTGACCCTTCTGTTCCGCTTTGCTCATCAACGATGATGGTGGCCGCCCTTTTCGCCTCTCCGTCAGCTATTTTGTCAGATTTGGACTAATGATTGGAAAACGAATTGTCCCTGTTGTGAGGGTGTTCTGGCGAGGTACAGGATCCCCTGGCTCAAAGAGAAAAGAAGGGTCGCAGCGATCCGGAGGATGGCGGAGCTCAGCAAGTATTGGAGGTGGCTCGACGGATTGAGCAAATGGTCTGCGGTCCAAATTCTTTTCTCTTTCTCTGGACAATTTTGCATATTCCCAATAGTCTTCCTCTCGTTCATTTCCCGCGCCAATACCCCATTCCATCTCATCCAATTGTACGGTAATCAGTCTGGTTTCTGACGGTTTAGCTTTAGGGTTTTGCAAGATCATTTGAATATTTACAATTTGGGTTAGGAGATCAGTGTTGTCTCAGGACGGATAAGGGAGCTGGGTTCGAAGAATAAGAACAGAGAGATATTGGACGATTCTGGCAGCGGCGATTTGATGTTGGAGGTGGGAGTGGGCAAAGCCGTGAAGGGGCGTAGGTGGGAGGAAACGGAAGCGTCGCAAAGTTTATTTTTATTTCTTATGATTAAATATTTTTAAGTAAATATGCTGTATAATCTGCGTGTCACTTGAAGTTGATTTGTTGATGACGTGTGTGCTGAATTGGCGTCCTAGTCAGCGTACCGCTAACTTAACTGATGGCGTCTCTAATTCCGTTAAAGTTTGTAATGGAAATCACTAGATTTGTCATACTACCATCCAAACGTTTGCCTATTTAAAAAGTTGTGGCTATATTTGTCACAAACGTGAAAGTTATGGCTATGAAAGTGTATTTTGCCAAATTAAACGCTCTGATCACTCGCATTATCAATTTTTCACATTTGATACCAAAACCATTTTCCTTACTTATTAGTCATTCACTTTAAACTCCTTTCACTATTGATTACTGTCTATCCAACACTATTAAATTTGTCCTACATAGTGGTCAACTATAATCATTGGTCGTTAAGTGGATGATTTGGCAACAAAAATAGGAAGGAAAAAAGATTCAAATTAGGGTATGCTTATGGTGACTTGCAAGTCACAATGATTTGGACAAAACAGTCGACCGATTACACCAACGTGACCATTCTGATGGAAGATCGTACTCGACCTTAAACCTTGACCAGTCAACCGTGCGTAAGAGACTAATAAGCAAAAAGGTCGACGTTTCCAGCAAAGTGGTCTACCATATCAAGACGAGGTCGATCTTTTCCAACAAAGTGGTCGACCACACGGAACGCTTGTCCCACAAACTTAACAAATTGCTCTATTGGTAAATTTAAATGATTGGTTTTATAGTTGACCTTGCACAAGAACAACAACCTTGAGTAGACGATGGAAGACGACAAACAGAACAAAGGAAAGAAGCAGCAAGAGAGAGCGGACCTGGCGGCAGAGCAGAGAGCGAACCTAGCCTGATCGTCTTCTTCGGTCTACACCGCGTGTTGTAGGTATGGATCTTGGGTTGAGAATGCTAAGAACTATCAATAGAAATAGGGGATTTAAGAAGTTGAGGAAGGAAGAAGGATTGAATGTGAGTTCTGGGAGAGAAGAAGAGAGAAGAGTTTGCTTGGAAGGGGGGTTCGACGAAGAGGAGAGAAAATTTGAACAATTTATAATTAGTTTATTATACTTAATGAATTCCTTTCACCAACACTATCCTATTCAATGGAGTCAAAAGCGGGTTTCTGTATAGAAGCGTTTTGGTGATGTAGAAGCGTAAAATCGTATGTTTTAAAGCTTGAAAGCGTGTTTTTAACTACATTAGCAATAAAAACTGAGATTTTGCGTAGAAGCATTATGGAGATCTAAAAACGTATTAGCGTAAGTTTTAAATTTTAAAGCGCGATTGTGACTAAATTGATCCTATTATAAAGAAATTTCTTTTATAACTATCCTGATTTAGCATATAATTATTCCCCCTAAATTCCAGTTAATTTGAAGTAATCTAATCCTCCTAGTATCATGAATTAACATAATACGAAATAATCCCAAATTGTAAAATATCAAAAAATTGTAAAATAATCCTGTATAAATCTCTGGCGCTTCAGAGCAACCTTTTCCCTCCAATTTGCATTCCTCCACTTACCTTGCATGCCTCAGCTTCCTCTAATTTACTCTAGAAGGTCCCTACGAGCAGCAACAAATTTTTATTGGCACAATAGTGACCTATAGTGAACTTTTTGCTGCACTTATAGCATTTGCCATCATGAGGCTTCCCGTCTAGCTCAACGAGAGTTAGACGGACAAATCCTCGCGGAGTCCATGGCCATGCCGATCCCGACGGTCCTCCACCCGCCCCCCCTCCCTCCACCACGCATGTTCCCCCTGTCGGATTAGTCACGTTGGTCACCGCTCCTCATGCGCCCAACCCCCATATGTCGCGACCGAACCACTTCCTGAGCCGCCTCGTCCACCTCATGTCTTAAACGATCTTCTGCATTGCTCGGCTGCCCAACAATTCTTTTTCTTTCTGCTTTGCTATTCGGAAGGTGACTTTGAGCGAATATGGTTTGAATACCTTGACCTCAAATAGCAATTTTGGTCTTCACCCTAGCCCTATGCACCTAGATTCCATTTTGCCGTTGTTGTGTTAATCGCAGCTGGTATGAACCACGCGCCCGCTGCGTGCTCTGCCTATCCCGGATTAGCCTGACCTCCTAGTCCTTCCTCGCACCATCTCTGTGACCACCCTTCCGGCTCCTT